GGAAAAAACATCTGTTATAAAAAACAGTTGAGTGTTTAGTAAATTGTAATTATATAAGTATTGCTGGTTCCAAAAGAAGTATAATGGCATTTGGTAAATTGTGAGGTTGAATTATTGTGGGGAGTTAAGATGATAATTAATAATATTAAATTAATATATAAAGTAATTAATAATTAATAATTAATAATTATTTAGTTAAAAATAGTAATTAGTAATTAATTATAAGTAATTACTATGTTAGTAATGCACTCATATTTATTAGATTATATGTAATTAATTAGTGTATTAAGAAAAATAATTAGTATATACATAATTTATTAATATTGGTAATTATTCTTTTTATAATGATTAATGACTAATTATTAACTATTAATTATTATTGATTAATATATTACATATTGATAATTATAATTTAATATTAATTATTAATTGAGTAATTACTATTTATTTTTTATTTACTAACTATTCACTAATTAATAGATTCTAATTAACATAATATATAATTGATATATTAATTATTAATTATTTATTCAATAATATATTATTACTTGTTTTATTGTTAATAGTGGTGGAACTTTGGGTCGACGCGCTTGCCCAAGGCCTGAATTTTTGGGCTCGGCGGGCAGGGACCAATGGCTGCCCGTCCACGCACTAGGATGGGCTCAGGCTTGGGTTGTCCGAGAAACAACGCCATGGCGGAAGCCTGCTGCCGATTTGCCTGTCCCGACTGTCGATCGCCGATTTTTTATATGTTTTTTAATTTTTTCCCTCCGGGCTGAATTTGAGCTCGACCCGCCACCTGAGAGCCCGACCTCTAATGGCTCATTTTTTTACCATTGCCCGATTTTCAGCCCGAACTCGACCCGTCCAATTTGAAAGTGGCTGTTGGATCCGAATTTTGGGGAAAAAATTAATTTTTTAACCTAAAAATTTTCCTATAAATACCCCCATCCCCCTAAACATTTTTCTCACTCAAACTCTCTCAATCTCTCTTATTTTCTCTCAATCTCTCTCAATCTCTCAAATCTCTCTCACAATTTTTCTAAAAAACTTACATAATATCCTAAAGCTCTCTCTCTCTCACTCACAATTTTTATATAATGTATTCTTTTGGTTATGGTGATATTCCTATTGATGCCCAAGTGAAACAAAATGTGGAAGAAGGATAATTTCCTACTAATGAATTTGTTACGCAGGAATCGGAAACACAACCAACTGAGGAACCTGTAAATCCGAGCCGTGGTGGACGTAGTGGAGGTCGTAGTCACAATGGTGGTGGGCGTGGAGGAGAGGCAAGTGCAAGTGCTACTACAAGTGTTGCAAGCTCCAAGAAGAAATGCAAGCGCACCTCGATAATTAGAGAGCACTTCGACACAATTGAGGAGGTCAACAATGACGGTAACACTAAACACATAGCTCAATGTAAATATTATTTTTCTAAATTACAAGGTGACACTATTCGCAGCACAACACACTTGAGAAGACACTCTGAAAAGTATCTTCAAAAGCGTGGCCAAACCGGCGGAGCCAAACTTCACCAAACACAATTGAGTTTTGATCGCACAACCGGTGGTCTCACCACTTGGAAATATGATCTGTAAGTAGATCGTATGGAAGTTGTGCGAATGATAGCTGCACTAGATCAACCACGTAGTTTTGTAGAGCATCCTAATCGGCAATGATATATTAAAGTTGTACATAATCCTAATGCATAGTTTACTTCAAAAACTACTCTCAGGAAAGATTTGTTAAAAGTATTTAAAAAAGAAAAATAAGCATTAATAAACCTTTTACACTCTACTAGCGGTTGCATTGCATTAACGGCATACATTTAGTCTGCTGTTACCAACAAAGATTATTTAGCTGTAACCGGACATTACTTTAAGGGCTTCAATTTAGATAAGAGAATATTAGGTTTTAAATGTGTTCTAGGATCACATAACACCGATTTAATATATAATATAATTTTAAATGTAATTGATGAATATAGATTAAGAGATAAAGTGATGACTATAACATTAGATAATGCTAGTGTAAATTCTAAAGTAATTGAGTATTTCAAAATTGATTTAAGGTTATTTAGTGATGGTACTATTTTTCACCAACGTTGTACATGCCACGTAATTAATTTAATAGTTAAATCCGGTTTAAAATTAATGTCTATTCATATAAAAGCAATTAGAGATAATATTACGTGGATTCAAGGTAGTAACCCATGTGGACAAGATTGGTTTAGGTTCTTACAAGCACTAAATCTAACTCCTAGAGCATTAGCCTTAGATATGCCTATAAGATGGAATTCAACTTATATAATGCTTCAACAATGCATCCCCTATAAGGATGCTATAATAAACTATATTAGTACAAAATTAGGAGTATGACATATAGACGCATATGATTGGCAAATTGTTGAAACTTTGTATTAATTTTTAGGTAAGTTTCATGAAGTTACTTACTTAATGGAACATATTACCCAACATCACTTTTAGCTTTAGGTGAACTTTTAAGAATTAGTATTTTATTTAGTGAATATAGGAAGGACTCAATTTTAGAAGTTCCTATCGCTTCTATGGAAAGAAATTTAAAAAATATTGGTCTAAATTGCCAGTTTTGTATGGTTTTAGTACTATTTTTTATCCCAGATTAAAGTTAGAAGGTTTAGAAAGTGGTTTAGAAAATTTAGGTCTATTTTTAGGCATCGATTGTTCTGACCAATTTCCTAAAATAAAGGAAAAAATATTTTCTCTCTATAGCAAATATGAGAATAGGTTTAGAAACACAAATTCTGGAGTATAGGAACCACAACAAAGAGATGAAAACCCGCATTCATTCTTGAATGTTTCCAGGTTGAAGAAGAAGAAGAAGATGACTCAAACATAAGCTAGGAATGGATAATCATCAACAGGTGGCGGTGGCGGCAGCTTCAATGAGCTTATGGCGTACCTCAGCGAGAGCTTAGTAGTCAACGGTAGTGGAGAATCATTTGACCTAGTTCAATGGTGGAGCGCACGAGCATTAACTTGGCCAGTCCTAACTCGATTGGCAATCGATATTTTTTTGATCACAGTCTCTACTGTTTCATCCGAACAAGCATTTAGTACGATCGGATAAATACTTGAAGAACGTCGAAACGCATTGTAAAGGGACATTGTTGAAGCCTTGGTCTGCATTAAGGATTGGGATTGTGCTGATCAACATTTACACGATATAATTTCGTCGGCAAGTTAAAAATGGATCGAGGAATTTAATAGATTAACATTTAATTTTGAAGACGATCCTTCAACTTCAAACTAAATTGTAATTTGTAAATATGTATTTGCTTTCGACATTGTAATTGTATATTTAGACTTTGTAAGTTTGTAAAATTTGTAATTTGTCACAAAATGATTGCACTCTTTTTTCCTTACTATGTTTTTATCCCAATTGGGTTTTTCTTGGTAATGTTTTTAACGATGCAGTCATGAATTACAAATTTAAATATTATATAATATATATATATATACACAATATTAAAAAAATTAAAAAATATAATAAAAAATATATATTTTTTCGGGCACATTTGGGCAGGCTCGGGCATCCAAAACCAGGCCCGCAGCCTGTCCAGGGTTTACTCGGGCTCGGGCGGACGGGTTGGGGTGTCGGGCTCAAATTTGATTTTTTCGGACGGTCGCGGGTGGCATGTCTAAAGTTTCAGTACTAATTGTTAATATGTTATATAATTAAATTTTGGCAGTTAATCTTTAACTAAATATATAATTACTAAATTATTTATTATTTAATTAACAAAATTAAAAGTTTTGAGAGTAATAAATTCATATTTAATTAATAATTAAGTAATTATTAGCTATTTATTAGTTATTAAGTATATCTATTTATAAATTATTAATTAATACATAATATAATTATTAATTAATAATTAATTATTTAATATGACTTCGTTGATAATTATTAATTGTACTATGCTTATTTACGCACAATTTAAAACTTAAAGTTGTCTTTGAGCTGCTTCTGATTTTGGCCATAAAGTCTTCAAAAATTCTTTAAAAATCACTTTTTATGATTTTTACCAAACACCATTAATTAGTAGAAAAGTAATTTTGAGCATAAAAAAGCATTACCAAACGCACCATGTGTGGCTTAAAATATTTTAATTGATATGAAATGACATTATTAGAAGAATATACCGAAAGAGACATGAAAAAATTGAGACGCGTGAACCGAATCCAACTCTTAACTCAAATTAACTTTACCCAAATGAATGAAGGGCTTGTTTGGTTATATTTTTGAGTTATAGTGATTTGAGTGTAGATCTTGAGTTGAATTTAAGTTGTAATTTGAGTTGAAATTGTAACTTGAGTTTGTGTTTAGATGTACACATTTGAGTTATTATTTGAATTGAGAATCTATTTGAGTTTGTGTTTGAGTAAGTCAAAACTTGAATTTGTATTTAGATAGTATTTTAATAAAAACTTAATGGTGATGAAAAAAATTAATAGGGTATATAGTTGAGGTTTTATTCATCTATTCGTTGTGAATGCATAAAAAAAATCATCTCAATCGGAATTAAAACGAAAAAGTTATAACGTTTTTAAGAATAGAAAAAATAATGTTCATTAACTTGAGTTTGAGTTTAAGAACTTGAGTTGAATGCAAAATTTAACTCAGATTTTAACTTCAAATTCAAGTTAAAATTTGAATTAAAACTTAAGTTTAAACACAATTTTATAAACGAATAGAAATTTAAATAAAATTGTAAGTTGAGTTCAAATTTTTTTTAAGTTTTAATCTAAAAGAATAAGTCCGAAATCTTTTGTATTATAAATAAATTCGCTTGTAGTGATGCCCGATGGTGTACTGAGCAGTGGAGCAGCGAACAGGACAATGATCACAATCTCGCTTTTACCGCCATTGCTATATAGTTTTTCTTTCTTCAATTATGCACCAACTACCTTTGCCATTACTCTTACTATGTTCTTCTTTTTCTTCTTCTTCTTCTTCTAATGGACGACGACGGCGACGGCCTAAAAAACCTCTTCCAAGACCGCGCGCTAGCTTTCATGTTCGTCGCCGCTGCGACGGTCGCCATCGTCATCACGACTTATCACCTCGTCACCGTCTGTTTCTGCAACCGCTGGCGACCTCGGCGAGACGATCAAAACTCGCTGCGGTTAGCGCCGCCGGCCTCGCTGACCAGCGCCCAACGGATCCTGGCGGCGGAGCTCATCCCAGCGCACAAGTTCCGGAAAGGCGACTGCGACGACGCCGTTTGCGCGGTTTGCCTGAGCGAGTTCGAGGAGGGCGAGGAGATGCGGGCTCTGCCCGGTTGCGCTCACGCGTTCCACGCGCCGTGCATCGACATTTGGCTGTTCTCGCACTTGACTTGCCCGATCTGCCGCGCCGATGCCACCGCATCGCCAGTCATGCTCCGTTCGCCGGAGACACCAGAAGAGGTGGCGGAGACGAGGCTTGATATTGGGATTGTGGAAGAAGACATTGCCATGATTCAGTCTAGGAGATCATCGCCCTGAAAAATTGTGATCATGTTGCTTGCTGTTGGAATAAAGGGACCAATTTTTTCATCTTTATTCTTATTTTTCTTTTTTAAATTTTTGTGGTTATAAGTCAGTTTCTTTTTCCAAATGTAAAAAGATGGTTTATACTGTTTTAAGTTACAGTTTTACAGCGTTTGGATTTACCAAAAAGATCATATTCGAGCACATATTGAAGAGAATCCTTTCAGAAGGTACTTCCCCCCTTGCTTGTGATCTTTTACATTCAGAGTACCAAATATTGAAGAGAATCTAAGACACCGTTCATTTCACCAATTCGAATTTTGTTACAGTAAAAAACTCTAAAAAATAATCACATATAACTTTTTAATTACAGTAAAAAGTTCTCACATAAAATTACATCTCAATTCGAATTAAAAACTTGAATCAGCGAACTAAACGGATAAACTGCTTTAGGTATTATTGTTGATCGGTGATAAAAGCCATGTGAAATGTTAAATAAAAATTTCTCTAAGCCTTCTAATTAGTTCTATCTTGTATCTGGCAAGTGTCTTTGTAGACAATGAAGTGCATGGGAATGAGGCATGCAAAACCTAGAAGCTTCATTTGATAATGTGCAAACCACTAGCATATTTGTTTCGAGTAGAGATATAGTATTGTATGTTAAATCATTAGTTGTTGGAAAAATTAAGGACACAAATTGTGTCTATAGTGCATGGGGAGTGACGCAAGAGGCTTGCACAAACTAGACATTTCCTTTTCTGATAGGCAAACCTATGCGAAACGACAACAAATATATAAAAACGATAATAAACATGCAAAAATTGTAGAGAACGACATTAATAATATGTTTGGTATGATGGAAAAGAGGAATGAATGAAGTGGGTGGAGGGATTATTGGATGGAAAATGATAGAATAGGTTGTTTGGTAAGACTATCTCTAATGCAAATGTAAATGTCAATTGTATATTTAGCATCACGAAGTGTGATATGATATGTTATTTTTATTTTTACTCTAATATATAATGTTATTTGAAATGCTAAATTTATTTATTTTTTCATAATTATTAAGCTTTGAAACTCGTAAAAGTAAACAACTATTTCTAAAATAATTAGAAAATGCAAAGTTACAATGATTACATAAAAAATAAACATTTTAACTAATAGCAATTAAATGTCAAATTTCCTCTATTCTATATAGTTAGTGGGAAGAGGAAAAAGAGTAGAAATATGGGAAACAATGATGTAGAATACAAGTGATATATATTTACGACAGTTAAGAAGTGAAAACAATAAGAATATGTAAACGGCTATGAATCATGGAATTATGAAAACAACAGTATAATGAATGCATTGTTGAAAAATTCAGAATTGGGAGGATGAAAAGAATAGAGAAAGCAGAAAGAGAGTTTGAGGCGTATAGGAATACTTTTCTTTAAGGTTTTATTTGCCATCACTTCTCAAAGTTTGCTAATGAGTTTTTAAATGGCAAATTACCCCATGATACAACAAACCCTTGAACACAATATCCAGCAAAAAATATTGAGTTCCAGAACAATATATTCATCTGTATTTTCTGAAGTCTATCATATAAAGACAGGGATGCATCCATCCTCTTTAAGTGTTACAACCTTTCACATAAAGATACCTTTTCAATTTGATGGTTATCTTTTATATGCTGATGCACTTATATCAATAGTTATTTCTATTGTTAATGAGTGCTCAGATATGTGAGAAAATATATCACAAATAGATGCAATGGTTCGAGACCTTTTCAGATCACTAAAACACACGAACACATTTTCCGTCGACAATTTGCGCTGCAGCGCCCAAGAGGCGCGCTGCAGCACGCGGGCTTAGCAAAACAGACCCGATGGGTCTGTTTTGTGCAAGCTGCAGCGCCCAGGGCGCGCTGCAGCGCGTCCGTGCGCTGCAGCGCGCGAACCTAGCAAAAATAGACCCGAGAGGTCTGTTTTGCGCAGGCTGCAGCGCCCAAGCGCGTGCTTGCTTCAGCCCACACTTCCCGAATGTGTTTTAATCCAATTTTTTGATATCAAGATTGAGAGATATATTACAATCTCTCTAACATGCATCAATGCAATTCCAGCAAAAAAAAAAAAAAAAGAAGAGAGAGAGAGAAAGAAGAAAAGCTGCATAACGCAAACGACACTAAATGCGAAGAACACAATGACAAAGAAAGTATAAAATGACAAAAAGTACATTAAACGATAATGCATTCAGTGCTGGTTCCCGAATCGAATTCGGGTGCGGAAGCGTGGGGATGAAAAACAGCGGATCGTGTATAACAAAATTTTTCATAAAACTTTTGAGATACTCTATAGATTATATTAATTTATGCACGAATAAATTAATCACATTAATTTACATCATTCAAGGATCAACCGAAAAATACCTGCAAGCCGACTCGGATGATAACTTGAATTTCTTTGACCACGAACAGTCCTTGCTCCAAGCTTTGTGTTTAGAATACCAAAGTCTTCCACGTCAATTCCTTGATTCCACGTAGACGTGTGTGTGGGCACACGTGAGACAAAATAGGTTTCTTAAACACTCGAATTTCCACAAACACCAACGCATGCACGATGTAGAATTTTTAGAGAGAATTATTTTGTTCTCTTTTTCCTCTATGAGAATTTCGGCCACACTCAAAAACTAGGGCTCAATATATGTTAAAAATTGTCTCTACAATTTTCTATCTTTCTCATATTTAAAGAGAAGAAGTCAAACTTCAAAATAGAATCAAATCCTTATCTCCAATTTTTGAATTTGGAAAAAAAATCCCTTCCCCTTACCCACTTGGTGGCCGGCCACACTCTAGGGTTTTATCCCTGTGTGTGGCGCCTATCTCAGATAGGGAAGGAAGAGATTTTATCCTTTATCCAGTAGTCCAATTTTAATTTAGATTCAAATTCGAATTTAAGTCAAACTTAAATTAATTTGAATTCTAAATTGAACAACTTATCAAATAA